GTTGCTCTTCGTCATTGATGTCGATCGATGATGTCTTGCTTTGAGTCGAATTTATGCCGAAAGATCATGTTTAAGAGTATTTTATTTCGGGAATCGATTCCTTCTTGTGGGCAATCGAGGTGATGATCCTCTTCCTCTCGAATTCTTCTTGAACCTATATTGAAAAGAATAACTTCTGACTTCCAGATCAGAGAGACCTTATCACTTATCAAACAATGCGATCGATGAGAGGACTCAAAAGAATTACGGCGACAGAACCAGAGTTGTTCCACCAAAGACAACGCAACAACGCAAAGAGGGGCCGCACAGGGTTGCGGCAACGTGTGACGAGCGCGACTAGTAATTAATAATGAGTCTCTCCGGAAGAGTGTTCTCAAGGACCCGCTTGACACACCGAGTTCAATACTATGAGCACGGGCACTTCGTACGCTGCTCGCAGTACGCTGATTGTTCGTCTTTTTCACGCTGAGTACGCGGATTTTACGCCATTCGTGAGCCGATCTCGTCAAGTGTACGCCGATGGTACGCTGCGCGAAGGAATTATCCGGGCTCGATCTCACGTTGCGTATCAATTTGAGAAGTTTGAGAAAATCGCATATCACATTGCACCAATAGATATAGTGCTGTCATCAGAATAGGGGGATTCTCCACGAATTCAGATTCACAATACCCCATTCGCATTAGGTAAACCCTCGTACCTCGTACCCTCCTGCTGCGGTCCACGAATCCCTGGCTTTTCATTCGATAGCGAAAACGAAGCTGCGCGAAGTTAAGGGATACCATCGGGTCGGGAGTTTGGGAGCATGAGTGCCAACTCCGTGACGACAGAATTCGCCGATCGACCGCCCCCCAATAGCGGGGAGTCAAAAAGCGTCGCAATAATCTCTCTAAACGAACCTTGCTTCGAAAAATGTGAGCAGAAGGGTATCATATATCATGAGGATTCGAAGGTTCACGAGGTTCCTGAAATATGGATGTGGCGATGTCGCGTCATCACGTCGATTTTCGATTCTTCGACACCCACCCCCCTGCGGTCAAAGTTACAGGCGCATCACATTTCTTTCATACAGTAGGTGATTGGTTCGAGCTGGCAGTCGACAGTGAGAGGAAATTGAGATCAGGTGCTTGTTTGAAATGTCACAAAAACTTCAAGACTCTCAGGAACGGCGTGAACGTTTTGAGAAACCACATTTCAAGCCACAAACGAAAAACTTTGTCACCCTGCCGGAAGTCCAAAGGATGTAAAATCGTATATAGCCTGATTGCTTTGGGAATGCCGTTCTCATGCTGTGATAGATGGGGTTTCCGGGAAATGTTCAAAGACGCCGGCTATGGAGTCATCAATAGGCCCGCTGTGGCGAGAATCCTCGATGCGGAATCGAAAAACCTACAATCACTTCTCATCGAAGATATCCTCAACTTGAAGAAACATGTTGCTGGGACACTGAGAGTCGTTTTCACATTAAGTGCAGATGAACGGTCCTTTCAAAGGAACCTCTTCACCGGAGTCACATCTATTAAACACAAGAAATATGATGCTTGAAGTCCACAAGCGCAGAGCTCCTCATCGTCAGGATAACGGCTAGAGCCACAGCTGAAAGCATCTTCGATGAAATTGTCGAAGGTCTGCAAGATTTCCAGCTCTAAATCGCAGATATCAGAGGGATAACTACGGACGCGCCACCCGCAATGCTCAAACTTGGCAGACTCCCCAAACGCGCTGTCGAACCACGACTTTCTATCATCAGAAATATTTCGCGCATGCCCTCCACCTTGCGGTCCTGGACGCTTTCGACTCTAGACGCATCGAGATCGATCACTTTCAGAATGACCAGTAGCTGTCGGATGCCTCGCTATCAGATAATGAGTCCGATGATATAGACGAAGAAACGGCGGGTCGGTCGAGGAGCGTGCCGACTACATACAGAGGAATTTACGGGCAAGCCCTGAGCAGGGAACGTGAAGCACGACCAGCTTGTCAGACTCAGCGGCACCGTCGGGTGTAAGAAAGTTCTTCTAGATTGCGCACACAGGTGGAACAGTAGCTTAGCGATGATGCGGCGATTCCTCGAGTTAGGCGACGGGATGAGTCAAGTTCATGAGACCGATTCACCGCGAGGCTCATTTCCCGTCGGAGAAGACGACAAAGAGTTGATCGAGGAAATGGTGGATGCCCTGCAATATGTCTCAAGACGCCGTTGGGATGCTCTCAGGGCAAAGGACTACAAGGCTTGATGCTGATTACATATTGCAGGTATGTAGGTATGGTGAGACACAGGGCTTCGTGCACGGAGCCGCTGTCGAGTGAATATGAAGGAGGAGTTAAGCGAGATCGTTATTCTGAGATCGAAATATCCCAGATCTACCTCTTTTAGTGATTGATCAATTCTCGTCATCAAGATACGATCAGTAGGCCCCAGCTTCAAATCCATCTATTGAGCTATTGTTCTCTGCTTATTCTCTCCGGAATTATTGACATTCGACTCACTACTTCTCCGTGCGCAGTTCACTTCACAATTCTTGAATTAGGCCTGATGTTAGGACTAATTCCTAACTCCTCCAGAGCCGTCGAAAACTTTACTCTCGGGAAAAACACAATTGTCCAAGCATTTCCTGACGAACATCCGGAGGTACAACGCGTGTTTCCAGATGACATTCTTTGGTGCCACGGAGATTATTCCTGAAGGGTTTATGCCAACTTTTGAACTTCGGTTGAACATAAGTTTTCTCTCCTCTCTTCTTTCGTGGCAGAACTTGGACATCCATGGTGGTCCCATGGTCCCATGGTCCCATCGACGATCCCATTGACGATCTCATCATGCTTCGAAATTAAAAACTTCACGTGGCCAGTCTTGATCTCTCCTCGCTTCAACCAAAATTTTAGCACGATTCGGACCTGGTCGGTCGAAGTCATCCTTATGATGATCTTGTCACTCTTCGTCATTGATGTCGACACGACGAATTTCCGGAGCGTTTTGATGTACACTATCAATCTTGTAGGATTAGCCGATGCTCCGCAATAAGAAAAGAGGGAACAGAGAAGCGTTCGACTCCGTGTTTGAACGGAACACCATTGCGTCGACGATGCGACACCGCTAAGCAGTATGTATTCAGCAAACAGCAAGAGCCGATGATGCGGGACGAAACACACGGAGCTTTTATTTATCGTCAAAATACTACGAGGGGATTGGTGCTGACACAGGGGCGCACACTTACAGACACAAACATGCACCGCTCCACTGTCGGACGAGCGCTATCGGAGACTCCCTTGTCGCTGACTTTCATGGTGGCGGAGAGTCCCCGAAACCTCGATGCGACAATTGTAAAGAGGGAGAATAAACGGGTTTCTACAGCCAGAGGAAACTCGCGAATTCTCCCCGTAGATTCGTCGACGGTCAGATGATTCATGACGAAATTCGGTTACGATTTCATCGGGCATGTCGCAGCGCGTGGTATTCGCCCTGGAGACCGATTTCGTGAAGATTCCGCTGAGCGGGAGACGGCCATTGGCTGTCCGGCGCGAACTGCTCTTGCCAACCGTGAATCGCTATCGATCCTCAGGGCAGATCCCTATTTACAGACGATGCTATCTGGAGTGCATAGGTAGAGGAAACGAGCGCATTTTCGAGCTCGAGAACGAACTAAACCACCGTATGGATGTGGGATCGAGTCAGCTCATTGTTGATTATTATTGAGGAGGGCCGATGGCGGAGCCTCCGAACGATCTTAGTCGCATTCTTCGTCCTGCAGCAAAGTTGCAAGTCGTCCGACTTCAACACACCAACGCCGTTCGAGCAACCACAGACGTTGTTTTAACTCCAGCTCTTTTGATTTTGATTTTGATCTTGATGATCTAATCACTCTTCGTCATTGATGTCGATCGATGATGTCTTGCTTCGAAATTCGAAACTCTCGATTTCATGCCGAATGATCATGTTCAAGAATATTTTATTTCGGGAATCGATTCCTTCTTGTGGGCAATCGGGGTGATGAACCTCCTCCTCTCGAATTCTTCTTGAACCCATATTGAACTGAATAACTTCTGACTTCCGGATCAGAGAGACCTTATCAAAAAATGCGATCAATGAGAGGACTCAAAAGGATTACGACGACAGAACCAGAGTTGTTCCACCAAAGACAACGCAACAACGCGGAGAGGCCGTACAGGGTCGCGACTCGCGACAACGTGCGACGAGCATTGAGATAAGGAGTCTCTCCGTAAGAGTGTCCTCAAGGACCCGCTTGACACACCGAGTTCAATACTTACATGACATGAGTCATAGTCATAGGCGGTACACCCCATTTGGCCGCGACCCCGAGAAAGTCGGCTTCGTGGTCGGGATGCAGAATACGGATGTATCTCCCTGAATGGATGGGTATTCAGCTCGTCTATATATGCCATACCAGCAGTGTTCGGCATATTTGTATCGATATCGATATTTGTCGATATGGACATATTCATATCGATCGATATCGATATTTGTCGATACAAATATGCCCAACACTGCATACCAGAGACGACTCGCGTCGAGTGTCCAAGCGCTGCGGTTTTCAGCAACCTCAATCTTGGTCTCGGTAGCTGAGGTCCTCAACAAGTGGAACGTCCCCAGCTTCCTTGGGGGAGCGCGCATGCGACATGCGACATTTGACGGCCTCAACAAAAACACGCGAAGTTCAGCAACATCCAAACATTTGAACCGAAGTCCAGAGCTAGGAATCCTCCAACCCGTTTTCTAATCTCCTAGAAGCAGCATGTCTGAGTGCCCGACAATAGTTAAGTCTTCCCGCGGGAAAGACAAGCTTTGCCACCAGGGTTTCATGTATATTTCGATAGGGTCAGTGCCCATCAGAGCTCACAATTCTGGCGCTGTCTATTCAGACGGGAATGTAAGGTCCGTTTACGCCGAGAGGCGGCCACCCGTGAAGTTATTGAGATCTCCGGATCACACACTGATCCCTCAGATGCGGCTGCCGCGGAGGTAGCTCACAGACGCACCGAAATGAAACTTCGGGCCGAGGAGACGAAAGAGACTCCAGCCCAACTCATCAACCATGTTCGGAGTGGGGCGTCTGCAGCCGTGCAGATGGAGTTCCCGTCGCGCCGTACTCTGGCCAAGGTGGTGAATCGTGTGAGGAAAGCCTGCGCCGGTGCGCCTGCTTTACCGACGGACCGCAGTAGGATATTTATCCCCGACGAATACGCGTACGAGTCGGCACCAGGGCACTCAGAGTCGTTCCTGATTGGGGATTCCGGGTGCGGCGATGAAGATCGTATCCTAATTTTCGGTCGTCAGTCCGTAGCTGAGTGGATCGGTCTGGTAGAGAAAATATACGTCGACGGGACATTCAGCTTGTCGCCTGAGCTCTTCCAGCAAGTATTCGTTGTTCTCGCAGAGCGGTCGGGCTTCGTCTTCCCCGTCTGCTACGCGCTCCTGCCGAATAAGAGCCAAGCTACACACACGCGCATGATTCAACTTCTTCGTACCGCTTGCCCCCACTTCAAGCCGACCAAAGTCTCTCTGGACTTCGGAATCGGCTTGATCAACGCCTCCAGAACCACCTTCCTCGATGCCGAGACGAACGGTTGTTTGTTCCACTTGGTTAAGGACATGAAGGGGAAGTTGATGGATCTCGGCCTCATAAAACGCTATAACCAAGACGCGGAGTTCGCTCTATACCCCCGTATGATACAATCCGTGGCATTCGTTCCCCCTCCAGCTCCTCCGTCACCTCCTTTCGGCGGTATAGTTCTTGGCTGAAGGTTGCTTGGATGTACCGCCAGGGGAGTTCTTTTTGTTCTGCCCATCAGACATTGACATGGCGAACTCAACAATTCATTCCTGGGCATATCCCGCGCTTCCACGAAGATAGTCGCATGCTCTAGTCTTTGGTCCGGCATGATTTCTCTTATGCTTACAGGGCCCGGATTCGCATGCTTTTTCATATATCTGCAGAAGGAACATATATCCGCATATCAAGCATATAATCGCACTCGATGCACATATCCGCACATAGAGCATACCAGCCGTCGGTTGTGTGCGAAACCATATTTTATCAATCAATCATCGAGTTTCCTAAAGGCGAACTACGTGGAGAGTTTCTCTCATCAGAGTTATCCAGTCGTGTTCGTCACACATGGGTATCACCCTGCCAAAAACGTGCCGTACGTGATCGAAAACCCAGCATTTGTACGAAATTGGCCTTTTCATGGTGAGGTACAGCCTATAGACATCGACTGACAGCGGTTCGGAAGCGTCATCGTGACTCCAATCGACATAGTCTCTCGACAGAACTGAGAGTGTTTTGCGTATAACAGCGTCGTCTCGTAGTCTCCATAAGCGAAGGAGAGTTTCCAGACGGTAAACATCTACGTCGGTTTTTTGGAACAGCTCGATTATATAGTTGTCGTAGGTGTCTGCGGCTGCCCTATTGGGGTAACTTTTCTGAGGACTAGGCTGCACGTACTACTCAGCTTCGTTCGAATGACAAATGTATCATTTATTCTGTGGGAAACTTATTAAATAGAAGGGGAACTTCGTCGTACATGAACAACAGACTCCACACCTTCCCTTGTTCATTACATGACGAAACAAAGGTTTTGCTAAGCTGTCATGCCTAGCGTCTTGCAGAGAAATTGATGACGAATGGCTCCTAGTGCCTTGGTGGAAATATCAGCACTCTGATTTTCGGTGCTTATCTGCTGCACTTTGAGATCGCCTTCGGTGACTCGTTCCCTAACGAGGAAATGCCGAATCGCTATGTGCTTCGTGCGCCGGTAAAACTCTGGATTCTCGGAAAGCCTCACTGCGGCCGAGTCATCTACGATAAAAGTCGGAACGATATCCGACTCCGTTATCTCCTGAAGAGACGCCGAAGCCAGACAACCTCTTTAGCTGCTTCACTCGCGGCAACTATCTCCGCTTCGGTCGTAGATGTCGCAACGGAGCTTTGTTTCTGACTCATCCAGCTGATGGATCCACCTGCGTACTTGACCACGACACCTGATGTGGAACGACCCGTCTGAGCACAACCACCATAGTCAGAATCACTGTACGCTTCCAGTGCGGCAGGGGACCCCTTTCGAGTGTAGACGATCCCGAGGTCACAAGTACCTGCGACATAGCGGAGAACTCTTTTGAGCCTCACTACATCGTCTTTAGATGGATTTTCAAGTTTCCATGACAGAACTCCGACAGCGTACGCGAGATCAGGACGCGAACCGAGTATTAGGTACATTAAAGCCCCTACGGCTTGTCTGTACGGGAACTTGCTTGAATCTGATAACTCATCTTCGGCACTAAAATCAACAACTTCTCCTTCCCCCGCTTCAGAAGAGTTCTTGCAGAGCATTGGAGTAGACACGGGTCTACGACCGACAAAATTGAACCTTTCCAAAATCTTCCTTGCCATCAACGCCTGGCTGACCTTAATGGAGTCTCGCTGCCTCTCAATCTTGAGTCCTAAGAAATACGAGGCATCCTTTGAAGTTATCTTGAACTCCAAGCTCAGTCCTTCGAGACATTCCTTCAACGTGGACTCTTTCGAAGCTGCCATCAACCCGTCGTCCACATAGATAACTAAAGGGTCTATTACACTGACACACTTTGGGTGATCATCCACTGATCATCCACTGATCATGCGAAAAGTTCATCCGAAAAATTCATCAAGACTGATTATCCACGGTTTACTTTTTTCGATTTATACCTCGCTCTCAATTAGGATGACCCTCCCAGTGCGCCCGATTTGACTCCATCCGAGACAACGTCGCTCGCAGTCCACGTGGATGCTGCTCTCCGGTTCATTGCGGGAACTTCGAAATGAGCCGGTCATTCAGGAAAGTACAAACCGTCCGCGCAGGCGCCAGAGTCCTCAATCGGTTCTCAATCAGTGAGATCGAAGACGAGCTTCGGGAGGAAGGACGTTCGAGGAGACGTTGGTGGGTAAAACCATGGATCGCGAAGCGACCGTCTCTGGGAGCGTGTTCTACGATCTTATAGAAGAAATTGCAGAAGCGACGCCCGAGGACTTCGTGAATCATCTACGGATGGACGAGGGCCACTTCACCTACTTACTCGAGAAAATCGCTCCGTATATCTAACGAAAGACGACTTTTTTCCGAGATGTTATCCCAGCGAGGACTAAACTCGGAATGTCACTCCGCTATCTATCAACGGGGGACAGCCTGAGTAATCTCAGTGCCTTGTATCAAATACCCAAGTGCTCCTTCTCCGTCTTCTTCCCGGAAGTCTGCAGAGCCATTCACGACGCTCTGGAAGACTTCATCAAGGTCAGTGAGAAGAGTCACAACGAATCGAGAGAAGACGTTGATTCATTGGCGTGTGAGATCAATTTGGCTGCTCAGAGAAAGTTGTAAAGATGCGAATCATCTCCATCGCCCCCGATGAGATTCGAACCGGGGACCATGACAGGGATGTTGGACTCGAAGGGAGCGTTCAGGGGGTCTGATTGCAGCTGGAACATTCTCTCAGCCGTCATCACAGTCTGCAATTTCTGTCGGCAGCTCAATGCCTGTTCGAGCGGCATGTTCCCCAGCTGTATAGCTAAACTTTCGCAGAACAAATCGAATTCAAGAGGTTTCTCGCGTTGGTTTCCATCAGAAATCTTCAAGAGCTCGTCTATCGCCGCCGATACTTGCGGGAGCCTTCAAGTTAAGGCGTTTTTGCGCTCCCGCTTTTGCGTGGAGAACACGGAGGCGACGCCCGGCTGATTAGCATTTCCACCCGGGGGAGTCACCTCCTCGTCCATGGCCTGATCGGAAATCTGGGCCATCCCCGGGCTGCCACTTGGCTCCACACTATCGTTTTCTGTCGCAGGTTCTTGACGGCTCTCCTGTGAATACATTTTTGAGTGAACTATCGATGATTCAATACAGGTCCCGGACTTCATCGAAGAATAGGAAACTGTGATGGAGAAGTACGAAAGACTGTGGCAGTTCCCGAATGTGTGCGGTGCTATGGACGGGAAGCACATCAGCATAAAGTGCCCTTCGAAAAGTGGCTCAGATTTCGTCAACTACAAAAAAAGTTTCAGCATGATCCTATTTGCCGTTGTGGATGCCGAGTACAATTAAGTCTACATTGATGTTGGAACGAACGGAAGAGCTAACGACGCCTCGGCGTTCTCCAAGTCAACATTCAATGGAGCACTCGAGATCGGCTCTGTGAATCTTCCGGAGCGCGGAATCTTCGTGGCAGACGACGATTTTCCATAGAGAACCAACATCTCGAAACCGTTCTCGAGATGCGGTGTTCTAAACGAGACGCAGCGAGTTTTTAATTATAGACTGTCGAGAGCTCGCCGAGAAGTGGAAAACGCCTTTGGTATCTTGGTGTCCCAATTTCGCATGTTTGAGAGACTCATATCGCTCTCCGTGGACAGTACCGAGACTCTGGTGAAGACAACCTGTGCGCTCCACAACTGGCTCCGGAGAACCTCGGGCGCCAGGAGCCTGTATGTCCGGAATGATGAGTCCTCCCCCCGATTTCGCTCGCTCCGCTCTCCGAAATCCACCACAGATATCTTCTACGAACCACTTGAGGGATGCGAGTAAAGTCCGGCAAGACTACGCTCAGAAATTCACGACGACGCACGCGGTCCCTTGGCAGTGGTCTATGGCAGAGGTTCCCAAACTTTTTCTTCCGCGGAACCCTTCGCGGAACCCTTCGTGGAACCCCTAGTGTTCTGTGGAACCCGTCCTCATTTTTCAAAAAATTCAAAGTCCTGTCAATTGCTCTTTCCTTCCAGCTTTTAGAGGAGAAAACACGCATTTGTTCCGGACCAGACCCGAATGTTTATTGCTTAAGTCAATTCTTGCGTGAATTAGGAATGCTCATCTAGTAGGAACGTGCCTTGTGCAACGACCTTCGCAGTGTGCATTCGATGCCGATCGATGCGCCAATGAGAACGATCCCCTTCGGAATCGAGGAAGACATTTGGAATCAGGAAGAGAAGTTGCCCACAGGGCTACGACACCTAGGGCCCGTATATGACCGTACATATGGAAGCGAAACCTCGTCGCGGAACCCCGAGTTGGCAAAGAGCAGCCCACGGAACACTGGGGTTCCGCAAAGATTTTTTCACGGAACCCCCGGAAAAGAGCGACGGAACCCCAAGGGTTCCGCGGAGCCCAGTTTGGGAACCTCTGGTCTATGGTATGAAATCACAGAGGAGGTCACGGGAAAGAATAAAATGAGGGAGCACGCCCATTTGGTGTTATTCGATATGGCATCTAGGAGCTGACCTTCAAGTTAGACCAGCTTTCTCTGGGCAGGCTCACGTTCCGCAGGAACGCGTCCGCATCCTTGAACCAGAATAACCTGGGCTTGTACAGGTCATCTGATCCGGCCCCGCTTCTCTCTGATCTCCTAATTTCTGTCAGCTCCGCACCGTATCTGGTGCGGAACGTCTTGATTTTGGCAACAACGTCCCCAACTGTCAAGCCGGATATATTGAAATCACTCACGATGGCGTTGTAGGATCTCTCGCGGACATTGGATTTACTGTATTCCGCGCTGCGAGGGTTCCATAGACATTCCTTACTCCTGACTACGGTACGCCTCTAGGAAGGAATCCATGTGGAAGTCCTGCCACTTGAAAGTCATATTCGACGATATTTGCGCGTCGTGCTGGAAATGTCCGTTCCACGCTCACTTCCCGACCTACGCACACAAACAATAAATATGTATATGTGAAATGTGTAAACATGGACTTCGTTGTCTTCTCGGATGTGCAAGGTGCG